CTACATGTTTTTGTGCTACCAAACAGAAGAATTAAAAATTTTAATAATAAACGTATTGAAAATTGTAAATAATTAAAAAAGTTAAGTTAATAATTGTAGTGCCCGAAATTGTAGTAATAATTATTATAATGTTATATTTATAATAATTATAAAATGGCCAAAAGATAAGTTAATAATTGTGAAGTTAAAATGGTAAGTGGCCGAAATTGTGAAGTTATAATTATTAAAAAAAGGTATAAATATAATAATTAACGTATTGAAAATTGGAACTAATTAAAAAAGGTAAGTTAATAATTGTAGTGGCCGAAATTGTAGAAATAATTATTATAATTAATATATTTATAATAAATATAAAATGGCCGAAAGGTAAGTAAATAATTATGATGTTAAAATGGTAAGTAGCCGAAATTGTGGATTTATAATTATTTAAAAAGTTATAAATATAATAATAGCTATTATTTTTATAATAATTAACATGAGTAGTATAAAATGGTAAGCGTGATGTTAATATAATTATTATATATATAATAATTAACTTATTTAAAATTGGAAATAATTAAAAAAGGTAAGTTATAAAATTGCAGAGCGTAAGTTTTTAATAAAGATGGAATCAATGAATTATATGCTAATAATTATCCAACGTTATTTTGACTACTGATTGGAAACTTCTGAAATTATGGTAAGAATAAGTAACTATCATTTTTAACCATCGAAAGTTTATATAATTATTTTTATAATAGTTAAAGTGAGTAATATAAAATTGTAAGCCATCGGAAGTTAATATAATTATCGTATTAAAAAAGGTAAGTTATACAAATCCAAAGCGTAAGCTTTTAATATGGGTAATTTATACAAATACAAAGAGTAAGTTTTTGAAAATTGGAAATAATTCAAAAAGGTAAGTTATACAATTATACACCCAATTCTGAAAAAAAATAATTAAGGTAAGAATAATTATACACTCAATTTCGATAAAAGTTAACCATTCTTATTATAATTATGATTATAATAGCCTATAGCCTATTACAATTAAATATACTATAATTATTCTCACAAATTGTACAATAATGTAGTCTATAAAGAAATCTTTCGAAATTTGTAAAACAATGATGTTTTTTACCTTAAAATAATATAATCTCTATATTTTATTGCATCTCATTTTTATCATTGAAAAATGATTTGAATTTAGTAACATAAAAATGACCCGTGCATTCCCGTGCAATGCACGGGTGTGATACTAGTCTAATTTCATAGTTTGAATTTCGTATACTAAACGGAGTCTAAGAGTTGTATATTACTAAAATAAAAAATTGCAAGGTTACACCTTGGTGAAGCAGGACTTTTTTTAATGGGGCATTAAGAAAATGTTATTGTTTGCTTTTACTTTAGAGAAAAGCAAATCATTTTCAAGATAGAGTTCAATGTTTGGATCTCCTGAGTCCTGACCCGATTGCCGTTAAAGATTGGCTCTTTGTTTTTTTTTTTTTTCGTTTTTTTCACTTGAGTTATAAGAAGAATTGGTTCCGCTTTTGGCATCCGTAAATATATTACCATTCCGGGTTTTAAAAAAAAATTGTTTCCGGGTGCTTTTTTACTAAATTCTGAACTCTTGAGTTTGAATGAAAAAAAAATCAAATTAAAAAAAATAGGGAAGGTGTAAAATTGGGCTAAGAGCACGGGCAATGACAAGTAACGAAATGGAATACCACACGATGACGTGGCAAATTTCAACCAATAAAAGATAATCCATTTAGCGTGTGGTAAGTGAATGAAGTGGCATCTCGTGCAGTGGCAAATTATTGTTTTTGTCATTTTTTTATCATTTTTTAATGCATTTTAATTATTACAAATTTTTTCATTTATCTTTTTTTAAATAGATATACTCTTTTTAAAAAAATTTATTTCTTCTACAAAAAAATTAACAAAACACAACCCTGGAAGATGCCTCGCGCCTCACACGCTTGGCGTGGAGGAAGGCTGAAGCCAAGCGAGGCAATTTACCGAACGAGCTGATGTGGCACAGCGAGGCAAGGAAATGCCTCGCCGCTGCCCATGCTCTAAGGGTAAAGTACTTACAAACTCGTTTTATTTTTTTTGAAAATATTTCTCAAGTCCCTGAATAATCTTATAAGTGCTTACTAGATCTCTATATATTTTTAAAAATGCTTCATAGGTTCCTAAATTATTTTCAGTTCCTACCAGGTCCATATACTTTTTAACTGGTGTGTTAGTTGTCCTTTCAGTGACATTTTATAGATCAAGTGTGCGGAAATTATTTGAGCAACATGCACAAGTTATTCATAAATTTATTATATAACGTCAATTCTTACAACAATTTTTGTAGACCTCCTGGTCTGAAAAAAGTCATCGAATGCCTACTAATGCACCACTAAAAGGAATAGTGATCGAATAAACATTAAAAATAATTTAGGAGCATATGAAACACTTTTGAAAAATTACACTCTCCCCTTCTGTCCCTGAGTATCTGTCCGCTTTTGCTATTTTTTCGATCAAAACTGATAAACTTTGATTTAAAATTAAGTAAATATGATATTAGATTTTAATATAAAAATAATTTTATTAGATCTCATTGATAAAACATTTCCAAAATGTTATTTTATCAAAGCAATATACATTATACGGAGTATATTACATCTAAATATAGATCAAAGAAAGGAAACGATTTTTTCGTGCAAAAGGTCAAAATTAGACAAATGGATAGGGACAACAGTCTTGGAAAGCACTTATCGTTGAACCAAACAAGTTTTTTCAATTCTGGGGGGAGAACGTAAAACGATGGGATAAAATTAAAGAAGTTTTTTCTTTCTTCTCCTTTCGTCTTTAATTCACAAATTAATCACAGCTAACCTTAGCTTAGCCAAATTTTGGTCAAAAGTCAAAAAACTAGCGAGAGATAATAATGATGCGCGCCATGCTGATGCCATCCTCCAACTCACACCTCGATTTAATTCCATTACTCCTTTCTTCTCTTTCTTTAATTTCAAATTGGATTATGCTATGTGTACTCCAAGATTTTTACCCCAATTTGTACCCCGCAGTTTTGCACCAGCATTTTGTGTTGGTGTAAAATTAATTTTTGTTAAACGCACCAACATTTGTGTCCGTGTTAATTTTTATTAACGCACCAACACTTGTGTCGGTGTAAACCATCGAAATGTTTGTGCAAACCTGTGGTGTAAAAATGGGGTATATTTGTTGGTGTAAGTGTAGCATGGTCCTTTCAAATTATATACTGTACTACATATTATAATTTGATAAACATGCATCGTTAACTCCTTTATTTTCAAACTTTTTTTCATTCTTTTTCTTGATGATTTGGAAGTCCTACACCAAAGCCCCCCTTCATGCATGGGTTAAAATTATGTATATAAACATTATGCGTAACTAATGCAGTAGAAATGTTTTTTTATGCCTTTGAACTTGGATGGACAATGACAATCTTTTAGCACTCTTAATATATTCAATCTAGTATTTCCTAGATAATTACATCTGTTCTCAGATAAAATAAAAAAGAAAAAAATATTTCAAAAAAATTGTGAAAGCTCCCGTAACAATGGTTGAATTAACTGATTTCTAATTAAATTTTTATGTGAAATGAGCCAATTAATTATATGAAATGAGAATATTAGTAAAAAAATCTATATAATCTATAAAAAATGGTATTAATAAGAGTTTGTTTTCTTCAACTTATTCTAATTTGGAATCAGATTAGATCAAATATCTTTAAATATAATTACAATTAGATTATACCAGATTTGATGTTTTCAAATTTTATTCTAAGTAAATCAGAATTAAAGAACAAGCCCTGAGTTACAAGTCTCAAGCGTAATTATATTGCTACAAACTTTTTCAAGAGGTGACATGCATGGTGTTGCAATTTCATGGATGGCGACGTCACGGCAACAACAATGGTCCGTTGCTATTCTTAAATTTGCGACGAAATTTGATGGCAAGATGAAAACCAATTGAGAATAAATTAAACCCTCTTGGCAAAAGCAAAATTGCGGCCACTAGGAATTTGAAATCACACAATTTTAGGTGGCGGCGGCATCAAAAGTTCTGGGTGGGTGGTGGGATTGTGAATGGGGTGAAATTTTTCGGTGTGCAATTGATCAATGAAAGCACCAAATATACGAACTCGTATTGGATGTAGGGAAGGCTTATTAACGCGGCTTCGAGCTTTAGAAATTGATACGAGAAGCTGCAGAAGGATCAACCTAGCTGAGACGGGCGTTCTCAGACGCGGCAAGGGAATATGAGAACTGAGAGAGGAGAAGGGATTAAGATTTATGGTTTGCTTATTTGATTGATATTGTAAATGAGGCGGTCATATCCACATTTATAAGAAGTTGATGAAAACCCTAACCTTAAAAAATAATCCTAATTCCTAGCTAGTCATGTAAGTTCAACAAATTCATCGAGATAAATAATTATTCTCGAAAAAACTAAAATTCTACTTACCTAATAAAATCATAATATTACAATAAATTATAATAATAATAATAATGAATATTACTACTAAATAATTAACTAACTAACTATATATATATATATATATATATGCATATAAAATTAAATATGTTACTCTACCATGCATGCACAAGATTTTATTCACTAATTGGCATAGAAAAAATATACATCAATACATCATACATATTTAAAAGATATATAAAAAAATCCCGTGAAAAAAATACATCAAAAATATTTACAAAATAAGTGATATAAATCTATTTTATAAGTCTATTTTACTTTATTAAAAAATTAATGGAATTGCAGCCTAAAATTTATCGAAAGCCTAAAATACTCCGAAGTAGTGCGTAGAAAGGGTCCGGGGATATCGAAGCTGCGTTACCTTTGAAACTATAAAAAAGGAAAATAATTATGACGTCATGCCAAGAGGACATGCAGCCAACTGAGTACTGCGCACTGACACGTAGCTTTACCAATTTTCCCTCTCACCTTTGCCCACGTAACTAACGCCTTTAAATTTTTTTTTATCTTCCGCTCATTTTCCCATATTTATATTTTTATACTCATTTACGTGCCGTTATAAATCCATGCACTTGAGCTTCTCACTCCCACCAATCCCAACAACAAATTAATCACTGAATGGCCAACGGAGGCGACGACCGCCGCCGCCACCCTCCACCGCCCCCGGCCGCCAAGCCGCGGCAGACCTCCCGGAAAGCGTACGCCCGGGGAAAGGGCGGCCCTGAGAACGCGAGTTGCCCCTACAAGGGCGTGCGGCAGAGGACGTGGGGGAAGTGGGTGTCTGAGATCCGCGAGCCCAACCGCGGGTCCCGCATCTGGCTCGGCACTTTCGAGAGCGCGTACGACGCCGCGGTGGCCTACGACACCGCGGCTCGTTGCATTTACGGATCCCGAGCCCAGCTCAACCTCCCCCACCTCTGGGTCGACCAGCCCCTGCCACTGCCTCCCTCCCCGAGCAGTGGCGGAGACCCGTCGGACTATTATTCCTTTGTGAAGGACAATGTCGCAAATTGTAAGCCTCTCGTGTGCCCGGCGCATCTGGGCGTTGCAGGTGTGTGACTCTATATCTGTTAATTTAGAAATATTAACACAAAATAGCACTAAAATTTAAATTATTTCTTTAAATAGATAGCACTTAAACTATTTTATTTCTTAAATAGCACTCAAGAAAATACTAAAAATGTCAATATATAATGCAAGAAAATACTATAAAATGTTAAAACACAATACCAAGAGTCCAAGATTGTGCAGAGCAAATACTCTTAATTTAGAGAATAAAGATATAAGATTCGATCTCGTATTATTTTAATATACAATATATTTGATGTTTTATTCTTATATATGTCATTTTTTTTCCTTTCTAAAGGAAAAATAGTTTTCTCATTCATCCATAAATATTACGTATTTTAATACGAAGTATATGGATTATGCGTACGTAATACTACCTATGTGATTACATTTTTTAGGCTAGCTATATTTATCCATCCATCCTAAAATAGTATAAGATGTGATAATGAAGAATAAATCTATAATTATTTTAAAGTAATTATACGATATGTGATTGTTTTTGGGAGCTCTCGCGTTTGAGTTCCCGTGAAAACGAAATGGACGATTTTTCCATCAATAAATCTCGTCTTTTCAATTAGTTGTTTGGTCAGAATAATTGCAGATGTCTAATTTATAACAACAGTGCGAGATCTCAGATCTACAAGAATCAGAAGCTAACCTAGCTACCAGATCCTAAAGCGACTGGAATATGCTTTAGTTTTTCATAAGAAAACTATTGATATTATATTTATACCAAAATAAAATGTATATTTTCAGATATCGAAATCAAATTTATAAACTTTGTCTAAGAAAAGACAAATAAAAAGATTATTTTAAGATGGACGGGTGGAGTATCATTTAATCATTATAAGTTGCACTTGTTTGAAATTCCTTGTTTATTGACGCATATTAATTCAACGTACTCCCTAGTTTAATTATTAATTCAACATATCCCTAGATTAATTATTAAATATATTGAAAGATGAATATAATTGATTTAGATATAAAGTATGTTTATTTTCATTCATTTCTTAGTGTGACTCAATAACGAATAAAAATATTTCAGGCACTTCATTTATTTATTTCACTTTAACAGGTGCAATATATATATTGCATGCACTAGCTAGCATTGGCAATTAAAATTCTTATAGGTTTTGTCCTACTACACACGAAAATGGTTACGTATTTTAATTTGTATACAACCAAAAGCCTAATTGTGTTTAGTTGAAAAAAGTGAAGAAAAATAAACTTGAGAAGAGATAACACCAAATCAAGTTCGACTTTTTAACATTTTTCGCATTTTTCTATTCATTTAAATACGGAGTAATAATTGTTTTTTCTAATATAACACTTTGTTATTAAAGCTCGTGAAGTTACTGTCCGTACTATGAATAAAACACATGATCTCTGATTTGAGAAAGTCATAGCGGTGTCACTAGACTACAAAGTTCTTGGGGACCATTAATATATCTACTTATGTATAAGTATATATATTATATAAAAAAATAACATTTCAAAATAAATCTATTAATATTAAATTAATATGATAACTTAATGTATTAATGTTTCTGTAATGGATAATTAGAGTACAAAATTTGATTCAAAAGATCAAACTTGATCTAACTTATGGAGGGAACGGAGTAAAATAAAACAAAAATGACCCCAAACTTCGGGGGAATAAATAAGAATAGCGTGGCCAAGCCGACCGCTCTATGTCTCATTACACTCATGCGACCGAAATTTATCGGATTCCCGCCTTATGGGAGGTCACGTGTCGAGCTGAGGGCGACAGCCGACGCTAATGACGTCGGAATATATTAGCGGTTAGAAGGCCGTTAGTTGGAGGGAAAACAAGAGCCTCGGAAATCGGAAAAAAAGAGCCCACAAAGCCGTTAATTTTATTCCCTATAATATTATTTTTAAAACATTTCAATGAAATATTTTAATAAAAACTAAAATTAAAAACTTTCAATGAAAAATGGAGAAGAAACTACTCTCACATAACATTATCTTTTGTTTAATATTTATATGTATTCATTGAATATTTGATAAAACAGAATATTTTTGCCGCATCCTTTTTTTTTTAAAAAAATCAACATTGTTTTAAAATATGTCATTTAATTATATTTTCTGTTTTTATACTAATTATAAGTAAATAAAATAATTTTAAAAAATATAATATTTTACACATTGTTCAAAGTGAGAAAATAAATCTACAATATCAAGTTTAACAAAATACTTGGATTTAACTAAATAAGGAAAAGATTTATTATTTTTAATTAAATTAATAAAAAAATTCTATAATTAAATTAAACAATACATCGTATATATTTATATATTAATAGGGGAAAAAAAGGAGAGAAGTGGTAGTATAGTGAAGGACGACTCTTCTCGGGTGAACCCAACTCTATAGTTTCAAAGTCAACTTTGCAAATTTATGTCATCTCACAACCTCGCAAAATGGGACACCCCTCACATTGAGAATTTTAGAGTTGTTAAATAAATTAAATATAAAATAATTTGAAAAAAAGACAAGGATTTTTTACCTTGGAACCCAAGATCATATTATGATCGTGACATCTACGATACTATATATACTGGTAAAATTGATTGTTCATACCCCCTAAACCCCTTATCCTTACCCCTCTCTCTGCACCTACTCATGCATCCCCCTGAATCGTCAATTTGGGCTATCCGAATTGGCGATTCATGAGGGCAGGGGGTATTGGGGTGGAGTGCAGGGGGCAGGGATGCGGTTTGAGAGTGGTAGAGAAAGGTAGGAACCATCAATTCTAAAAGCAGAGCACTATAAGTGTCTCGGGTCATAATATGACTTTGATTTCTAAGGTCAAAAAAATTGTTGGTTTCGAAAAAACATAAAAATACAATGTTTCTTCAGCATTTTTTGTTTTTTTGAAGTCGGTGGTCTCTTATAAATAGTCTCTCTACATTCAAGAGTAGATAAAATAAGTGTATACACATTTTTTCAAACTTCGCATGCGTATAATTATACTTGAATGTTATGGTAAACAAAGTAGGTAAAAAGTAGGAAGTAGATGTATATGCTAGACAACAGCCGGCATTGGCAGATCTACCAAGGGTGCAAAAGAATAGGTGAAATCGCCCACCCCAAGCGCCTCCACCCACTGGCTCGATAGGGATGGTGGAGAAGATAAATCAAGGAGCTTCATCACCCTTTATGAGATTTTTGGATAGCTCCAACACTGCCGCTTGCGGGACTTAATCTCTGGTCATCGATCCAAGATTTTACATTTTCGACCAACTGAGCTGCCGCCCATGAGGGCTTTTGACGGATCTATCAAGAAACTATGGGGGGCATGTTCCCCAGGGGGCATGTTCACCCATTAAAATTGGCCTTGTTAGTGTGAAAAGAAGGGAAATTTATTTAAATAGCACTAAAACATAATGACTTTCTCTAAATAATATCACATGTGTTTTTTTCAAATGTAGCACATTTAGTCATTATCCATTAGTCATTATTGAAGTAAATGTTTGCTATTACTGGACATTATTAAGTATTACTCCGTATTCAGGAAATAAAACAGTTTAAATGCTATTTAAAAAAATGACTTAAGTTTTAGTGCTATTTAGTGCAAATATTTCTAAAAAGAAATGGGTAATTTACATAAATAGGACTAAAACATAAAGACTTTCTCAATATAGAAGCATATGTTTTTATTTCCCAATGTAGGACCATTGGTCATTATCTATTAGTCATTATTCAACTAAATGTCCAGCATCACTTGGACATTATTCTTCTCACTAGTCATTATTAAGTCCTATTTAGAGAATAAAAACGTTTAAGTCCTACATTGAGAAATGACTTATGTTTTAGTCCTATTCACTGCAAATTTCACGAAATACTATGGATATTTTTTTTTTTGAGTTGTTACATGGAGTGCCTCCACACAATAAAATGATGTGCCCCCATTCACTCGGCCAAATCAATTGTTCAAGCCCAAAAATGAAATTAATTATATCTTGTTTTAAAGGGTTCAATTAGTTAATCTTAGACCTGGCAAAAAGTGACCCGACCTGTTTTTGATCCGAAACCCGACCTGAAAATACTGGGTTTTGAACAAAGGTTTTGATGACCGAACCCGAAGTTGACCGAACCCGAAATGACCCGCTAAAAATGGGTCAAACCCGACCGAACCCGAACCCGACCTGACCGACCCGCTAAAGTAAGAATTTTTCAAAATTGTACACTTTTTTACTCGTTTTTAGTGTATAAATTTATATTTTCAGACAAAATTTTAATGATATTGCATAATTANCTGAAAACACTGGGTTTTGAACAAAGGTTTTGATGACCGAACCCGAAGTTGACCGAACCCGAAATGACCCGCTAAAAATGGGTCAAACCCGACCGAACCCGAACCCGACCTGACCGACCCGCTAAAGTAAGAATTTTTCAAAATTGTACACTTTTTTACTCGTTTTTAGTGTATAAATTTATATTTTCAGACAAAATTTTAATGATATTGCATAATTATCTTACTTTTTCTCCAAAACATAAGCATTTTTAAATTCCTTATATTGATTTTTATATCTAAATACTACTTTAGAGTTTACAATAAAATAATTTTATAGATTTAATACTTTTTTTTGATATTTTAAATTTATTAATGTGAATTTAAAAATTTAAATAACCAAAGTCATAACCCGTTGGGTCGACCCGAACCCGATGACACTGGGTCATGAACATAGAGTTCTCAACCCGAACCCGAATTGACCCAAACCCGAAATAACCCGAATTTGAAGTGACCGAACTCGAACCCGACCTGACCGACCGATTTGCCAGCCCTGGTTAATCTCTATAGTTGTGCACCGACCTTTGAACGGGCACTTGAGACTTTTGTTTCAATTTCTTCAATGGCCTATGTTTTATTCAATTGATTATTTTTTCACATTATAACTTTTTTGTTTAATTTTTGTTTCACATAAAATTTATTACTCTCTGTCACATGATTGATAATAAAATTCAAAAGGACATGTAAAATTCTGTGTGTTAAATTTATTTTATTTATAAATTGATATAAAAATAAAAAATACAAATTGTTCTGTACAAATTAAAAAACTAAATAAGAAGTTTATACTTTACAAACAAGAGATGATAAAAATATTTTATTTAATCAAATAATCAATTGCAATTAATTAAAAGTTTTCGAGAGACTAACATAATATTGTGGACTACCTATATATTTTCATTCCATATTCTCCTCCTCCGATCCCAATCGGTGGTTTCAATTCTTAGATCCGCCACTAACTGCACATAAGATGTTTAAGTTCGGGGATGCCTTCCCGCCCTACTCTTTACTATAAAAGTTTGCCCCAATTATATTTTTCTATATGTCTCCCACTGCCTATTGAAGTTATTTTCTCTTCATGTATTTGCTTTCCCTGAAAAGAGTTATTTTCTCTTCATTGCTCTCCATCTCCAAGAGCAACACATTGTACATTAAGCAGGTGAGTTTGCTTGGCATATATATATATATATATATGTTGGTCAAAATAATTTAGAAATTAGTTTTAATTTTTTGTTAGAATATAAGAAACATTTCCTCGGCTACTACCACAAGCTTGAGCTTTCGGTTGAATTGGTTTTTTGACATGATATCAGAGCCTTGTTGACTAAGAGGTTATGGGGTTCGAAACTCAGCGTCACCTGATTTTAAAAAATTAAGATTCCACGCGCGAAGTTCGAAAAAAGACTACGCCTGCACGTGAGGGGGCGTGTTAGAATATAAAAAACATTTTCTAGGCCACAACCGCAAGATTGATCTTTTGGTTGAGCTAATTTCTTGACATTTTTTTGTATCTTTTTAAATGATTCTGACTTAGGCTACGATTTGTTCGCCCGATCTAATTTGATCCGATTTTTTGAAAATCTGGTCTGGTCTGATTGCATTTATAATTAAAGTTGTTTCTGATCTGATCTGGTCTGATCTTATTATAATAAGAATAAGTAATAAGCAGAAAAAAATAAGTTAAACGCAACGCTCACTTAGTTATTTGTAACTTATAAGTAGAAAAGGTAGATTTTACTTACTCACCGGAGTATTATTAAACATGTTTTTTGTTTCTCCGTTTCACAAAGTTATTTATAAAACTATCTCTAGGATTTTTGAAAATGGGTGGAGGCACATTGCGGGGCACTTGCCCCCCCCCCCCCC